TTTAGATGCCATACCGGGATCTACCATAAATGTCCATTTGGGATTGTAGCTGCTTTTACGGCAAGTCATTGTATTTATTGGTACATTGCTTACCATCATTATAGTGTCTAAGTAGTTGGAGGCAATTATAAACTTTTTTTGTGTTGTAATCTGAAGTTCACAGATTGTTTCCACTGCGAGACATTATAAACAAACCTGATGCGGATAATCTAAAGAAGAAGAAAATATGATCATAAAGAAAGAAGAAAGAAACTATATAAAAGATCATTTAATTGGGACTTAATAATATTTTTGGCCATTTGCTTCTCTCCATTATTATAATGTTTTATTCACCAATGTAATTTCTGAGATGTACAGAGGTGGTGACCCTGTACTGCAGTTGGTTGCACTTCCATTGGATCATGCAGAGCTACTTTCTAATTCAAATTTGACCTAACATACTTGCCATATTTGTGTGCACACAAAGCACAACATCTATATATATATAAAAAAAAAATTATTGTTGTTTTGACATCCAAATAAGTGGCTCAGGTAATGAAGTGAATCTCAAAATTTGTTTGTTTGTCTACTCAGCTGCGACAGAGCACCAGGTTGTAAAATTACACTTAAACATCCCAAAAACAACGCAATGTAAACTAACGCCATTTCCTGACAAAGAGACATCTGAGTTCTCCTCAATAAGAATCACTGTTTTTAGTGTGTTTCGCTTTCGTACTCTAGTGATGAGTGGAGAGGAAACGAGGGGAATAGTACAGGATGGTGCTTTCCACCAACAATACAACATACTTCATCCTTATTAAGCGCATCCTCGTTGTTATCAAGAGAGTCTAGTGGCGGAACGAGTTGGAAACACTATTGCCTGGCTTGGCATCCCTATTGCTAAATCTCAGTGTCATGTGTTGTGTGTGTGTGTGTGTGTGTGTGTATATACAGTATGTAAGAAGACAGAGGGAGATAAAGGAGAAGGCACAGGGTTGCAAAACAAGGCGGTATTTGGATGATAATCATTTATAATGCAAGTAAACAAATTAGATATATGATAACTAGCACCTTTTATATGTGATGCTACTGCAGGACATTAGGAATGTACACTACCAGGTCTGGATGGAAACATAATCATATGAAATCACCGGATGTAAGAGATCTGGTTGTATTTCATTTTGCATTCAGGCTAGCATCTAATACTGGATGTGTTTTCTGTTTAGTGTGAGTAAATCTTCACTAGAAAATCTTTTGTGGAAATAAATCGCATTAGCCCTTCAGCCAAATCAATATTTCATGCCCAGTATGTCTCTACTTTTTAAAAACATTATTGCAAATCCACTGAAGACAGCTTGTTTGAAGAGGGAAGCTGTGGCATCAGTGAGGCCTGAGAAAGGATGAAGAATCATCAGTCTCATCACATGTTGGGATAAACTGCATCAAGTATTTTGAAGTGTTGCATTAACATGAAAGCGCAAACCGAATAACCCAGCTGCCCTTTTAGACAAGTGACAGACATTCAGCTAAGTTACAGTAAGGGAGAGTCAAAAACATTCCACAACTGCCAAAAACACTTTGACAACTTATATCTGCTGCTGCCTCCTCCTCTTCCTCCTCTTCTCTGTTACAGGCTAGGTAAACTCTCTGTCTCTCCGTCTCCCTCTCTGCTCAGTTATAATTGCTCACATTTAACAGCTGAGCGTCTGAATCCTGAGGAGCAATGAGAAGGAGGAGGAGGCGGCAGCGCGCGCGCACACACACACACACACACACACACACACACACACACACACACACACACACACAAAAAAAATAAAATAAATAAATGCACGCATCTCTGGTGGAAATTGACTGGCACCGGTGTTTAAAATAATAAGATGCAGCTGTTGATAGTAGCGACTGTCTCCAGGTTTACTTCCCCGTGGCCCCCGTGGCAGGAGAGGAGCCGTGATGAAGGCAGACAGCTGACAGGTGCTCCAGGATGATGCTGCCATCAGGTGCATCTGCTAAACTTAACTCAGAGACAGGGAGACGAGAGAAGGGGGGAGGAAAAGAGAGCTAAAGAAAAAGATACTCCAGCGAAGAGTGAGTGGAGGGGGAGAAAAAGAGCAGAGTGGCCAAAAAATATGAAGAAAAGGGGGTTATAGCAAAAAAAAGAGAAAAAACAAAGAAGATGATGATGGGTAGGAAGCAGGTGATAGAGGGAGAGAGAGGGAGAGAGAGAATAAGTGTGTTTGTGTATGCTTGCGTATACCTTCAAACTTCATGCCAGCCGTTTGTGTAAAGAAATTCACAGGGTGCCTTTGAAGCTGCGAGGTTGACGGCAGAGGTGCCTCTCCGTCTAGTCACTGACACTCCGGTGGGTTAACAAGTTTACTGAGCAGGTCAGGAGATGGGGAGACAGTTGGAGAAAGGTAATAAGGCGAGATAATGAGCAGGCGTGGAAAAGAATGGAGAGGAAATGGTAAGAAATAATAAGAATAAAGAAATTAAATAAGAGAAGGTAGGGTGTGTGTGTGTGTGTGTGTGTGTGTGTGAGTGAGAGAGAGAGGTTATGTGATGTTGCCATATGTTTATATATATATATCCCTGCTTGCATCAGCACTTTGCAGCTACTATACACACATGCCTTCCAAGTCTTGTGTCAGAAATGCAGCCCGTGTCTGTATATACACTCATAATGGATTCACTCTGTGTGCCGTTCCGACAGTGGTGACGCCGACTGTGTATCTGACTTTAATAAAAGGTGAAGCGGGCACAAGTCAGGAGCTGAGGCAGGGATTTGAACCCCCTTGAACCCACCACAGGGTGGGGAGGGGGGTCATCAAACTCCAAGGCCAAGCAGATTAAGTGTTCACACGCATCGTGGCTCAGTTCTGGGCCGAGCAAAAGGTGACGGAGAACGTAACCAAGGAGCTGCTCTGCCCTCTCTCTTCTTTGTCTCATGTGTGTCTACCTTTCTCCGCACGCACACACACACACACACACACACACTCACACTCGCACTCGCACTCGCACTCTAATACGCATATGCACAGCAGTGTGGAAGGAGGGGAGCCTGACAGAGCCCAGTGCATCGCAGGTAGCCCGACAGAGCGGCTAGGAGCGCTGTCACCAATTTGTTCCTAGCCATGGGGGACATGCAGGGGATGGAGAGGCGATGGCAGCTCCCTGTCCTCATCATGGCTAATGAGGCCCAGGCTTCTCCTTCTTCCTCTATGTATATGTGGATCTGTGTGTGTGTGTGTGTGTGCACATATGTGTGTTTGTGTGTGTGAGTGAGAGGGAGAGGGGGATCTGTTTGTATCACAGTGCTGCCAAAGCTCCTATTCCTGAAAAACCGGGGTTGATATCTGGCACAGACCACCATGCACTCCTAGTTTTCTCTTAGTTCACACCTCTCCTGGTTGAATTATTTACCAGGCCAAGAAACACACACACACTGACACACACAGAGAGAGAGAAGAGATCAGGTCTTGTTCAAGGCAGCTACCATTCAATACACTGCAGATTTTCAGGGACACAGCAGCAGCTGAGGCTTGCTCGCTGTGCTGGCTGACCCATCAACCAGATGGCACCAGACATGCTGTGATAAAACAGAGCTTGGAATAATGAATTCTGGTCAGCGTGTGATGACCTAACCGCTTATGAAACTTATAATACACCATCACGACAGCTCTGTATTGAAGGCCTTAATCAAATAAGTTTTTTCTGTTTAAGTATTATCCAGAGTCTGTACAATTTTCTTATTTCACAAAATATGCACAGTGATTTTTATCATTGCTTTGTAGACATGGATCTGTCAAGCATTTTATTGTATCATATCTGTGCGACGCATGAGGAGTGAAGCTCCTTCTTGTGATATAAAGCTGGAATCTATCTTCAAGACATTAAGGGCACAAAGATGTTCAATCTTATGAGAGATGAGAAGTGTGGGATGTGCTTGTATCTGAGGGTAGGAGGACAAACAGCACTGAATATGTAGTTCAGGAGCTCCTCAGTGTGGTAGAAAAGAGGAAGTGCAACCAAACATGTGGCCTGTATCCTCTCTTCACACATTCCTCTCCATGTATTTGGTTAAAAAGTATCACAATTTTATAATAATTGCAATTAAAAACCACCAAAAAATATTCTATATTCCTTGCAGATAATCTACAATACCCAAATAAAATGAAACCGGTTCTTCTGCATTAGAAACAAACAATTATACATATCAACAATGAATTTCAAAACTTGTAGCAGACCAGTTTGCTTCTTTTTAAAACTACACAAAAAAATAACATCAGTTATTGCAGGTATGGATGGTATTGGATGGTTTTAACATAACCATTCCATCATAGACCGAACCATCAGTATTTAATTAGTCGTGTTTCTGGCCAATACTGACTCTGCTAGCTCTGTTTTTCTCTCCTTGAAGCTCCTGAGCAGTTGAATACTCCTCAATGTTCATCATAATCACTTTGCCTATCTGCCGTTTGGTGCTGGCCATGTAGTGAACAGAGGGATTTTTAAAGCTAATCATTGAAAACAACTGGGTGTCGAGTGTGCAAATCAAAACAGTAAAACCAAAAAACTGAACCGAAAGTGTGGATCTGAGGCGAACCGCAATCAGGTGTTAATTCTCTGTGGGTTCAGCACTGCGAGCGACCACTTTCACATTACAGTCATCTGATCCATCTAGAGCAGCTTTACCTCTATGACTTATTGTGTGACAGTGGCATTTCATGACAAAAACACACCAAATATAAAATAGAACTTCCCTTTTTAATAATTAAATAAAATCCAATCAGGAAAGAACCCTCGAAAATCCAACATTCTTCATCCAAAGCTTGCAATTAACTACAATCAGCTTCACTCTGAGATTAATGTGCTTGCAATTAATGCTTGGGCAGTGGCATTTGCTAAATTAGACAACAAGAGGGAGAGAAGGAAGAGAAAATGGGAGGAGAGAAACAACAGCAAAGGGACAGAAGGAGAAGAAAAATAGCAGAGAAGCAAAACAACAGCAGAAAATAAAAGTATACGAGAGAGGAGAGAGAGGGTCTGAGCTAAGTAAGGAGAGAGAAAGGGATAGAGAGAGGTAGGAGACAGAGAGAACCTGAATTATTCTGCTGATTCACATTAACACCAGAACATGGCCTAGTCAGCTATCAGGGAACAGTGGAGGAGAGATCAGCTTTTTCCACTTGTCCCTGTGGGGAACCTTCACAGCACCAAGAGAAAAACCTGCCTACTGAAAGAGCTTAGGACTGAAACTTAAAATCCCTGACCATACTTCTGATTGTTTATAAATATATGAGCTTTTCTGCTTTTTTTGTCTCTGCTTTTTTGAAATGTACATTAAGACCCAACTCCAAATACACTGGTGTTTGGCGGGCCGTTACACTTATTCCTTTTTTTAAAAATCATACAGAAACACTTTAACACTTCTTATTCTGTCACAACAGGAACTAATGTAGGAAACATTTAACCTGCATTCACAAATGCAAATGTGAAAAGATGAGGCGTTTGTAGCTGAAGGCAAATTATATATACAGAAGGCATAATAATATATACAGGCATTTTAATTATGACCATTAACAGTCTGGATGTTTGTTGCTTAATGAGGCAGCAGAGGAGCAAAGGAGGGTCATCAGGGTGCAGGTGTGGGTGGTTTAAAGAGACCAGTCTTTCTGAAGTAGCGCACGATGAGAGGCACGGACACCAGAGTGATGCTGATGCGTAGCGGAGCGAAGAGCTTGTGGATGGCGTAGGCCAGGACGAACGTGCTGGTCCCTGCTGCCATTTTAGAGCGAACAACTGCCTCGCTGAAGCCCACTTTGCAGAGCACGGCCGCCATATCGATCCCACTGGGGAGACAAATGACACAGAAAACTGGTTAGAAGTGCGTAAAATTCATATATTAGGCAATCACTCGCATTTTCTTCTTCCGCTTTAATAAAAGAGTGGCAGCAGCCCACTATAGAGTGTGTGTGTGTGTGTTAACTATATGTCCGGTATCAGTGACTATATTCAACTCAACTCCACCCGTCAGTTATCAGTCAGAAATAATCCTGACTTCCTGCATTGATAGATAAATAGATAGCGGGCAGCTGTGGCTCAGGAGGTAGAGTGGGTCGTCCATTCATCGGGAGGTCAGTGGATACCTGGCTCCTCCTGCTGAAGTGTCCTTGGGCCAAATACTCCCTGGCATATCATTGGTGTGTGAATGTGTTTGTATGGTAGAAAAGTGTTAGGAAAACATTGTATGAATGTGTGTGTGAATGTGGCTTCCATTGTAAAGCCTTTTGACTGGTTCATCAGACTAGAAAAGTGCTTTATAAGTGCAGTCCATTTACCATATATCACACCAGAATCAATGATAGTGTCACTTTCTATATTCTATTGTCTGAATTACAACACACCACAAACTCAAAACCAAAACAAGTATTTACAAAAATATTGACATTTAAACTTGCAGATTCTTCAATGCTCAAAATGCATCCTCAAGGATTTTAAATGATTTAATTATAAGGAGTTCCTCTCTTTGGTAGTTAAAAGTGCCATTCACCTGTATCTCCACCAGAGGGAGCTGTGTACAGAAATAATGTTTCATAATAGTTTATTTTACAGCCTTTTGACCCACTTAAACTGATGACATTAGCATAAGAACCCACTGCACGTTGAAGGGCATGAAATTCAACAAATCAAAGAGGGTTTAACAAGCTACACGTAACGCAGCCTTTGTGAGACAGCTTTGTACAGTTGTGGCATTTTTATCTGAACTATTCAGGGAAATAAATATGGAAAGAATGTGAAAACATGACGCTTCAGTCAATACAGCCTCTCTCTCTCTCTCTCTCTCTCACACATTAACAGCTCTGTTGCACTCAACAGACTTTAGTCAGCTAAATATAAGGATCCATCTGCACCCTGACAACTGTTTACCCAGCGCACAGCACTGTATTAGCAGGCCACATGCCCGGGCTCTGTGGCCACACAGTGATAATACTCAATGGCTGCTGGCTACAGAGTCAGTTTTCAGATCATGGGTCATTATCAGCTATAGGAGGAAATCTCCAAGCTGTCAGATAATCTCTGCCAAGTCTCTTTGGTATTTAAGGCCCTGGCGTGGACAAGGCCCTGAAATTTGTCTAGTCTGATTATTTTGCCTAAACTATGGGTAAATACAGAGTCAAAGATTTTCAGTTCTGCACATCTAGATGTAAAGTTACAAAACTAAAACACGGCTGCAAGAAGAGAAAATGACCTCATGTTTTATTCAAGCACTCAACATGATTTTACTGTCCCAGTCTAATGCAGCCTAGCAGTGGTATTTCAACAACAGCAGGGTGGGTACAATATGGCTGACTGAGTGGAAAGTTTCAAGAGCATATAACAGGTCCCATTTGCTGCCAGTTTACAGCACACATTTAGCATTCCTCAGTGTAAAAGCTGCCCATGGGTCAGTCATTTCCTGTGCATATCTTCAGGTTTAAAGGAACTCAGATGCTCTCACACTGCTGGATAATATCAGTAAGTGATGTTTGATGGATTCCAGTTATTTTTTTAATGTTGTGGTCTTTCCCTCAACAAGCCACATCGACTTTTATTTCAGTTAGTGATTTCCTACATTTCCCAAAATACATTTCTACATTTTTAACAGAGATAAACACAATTTAAGGATGTGAAAGATATTAGGATATAAATGCCTTAAGTACTATAAAAGTAGGTATTAATCTAAGATTGAAAGACTTCCCTAATTTCAATTTTGAATAAGAACATGGAAATAGAAACTGAATAAAAATGGGATCAATCCAGCTGTTACCCAACTGAACCTAATGCATACAGCCTCCTAATCCCCCACCTGTAGAACAAGTGATAATCGTCTGTATTGTTACCTGGATATAAGGAGGTAGAACATTCCAAGAGACATGAGGGAGATGCAGATGTGAAAGGAAACTCCCACTGCTCCATACTCCTTGAAGACTTTCTTTAGCTGCTGGGTCTTGCTGGGTTTCCCTCCCTCTGGCTCGGCTTCCCCTGGGGCCTTTTCAGTAGATGAGGAGGTAGTAGAAGCGTCCTTTAAATTCAGCTCATCCTGGACAAAGAGATAAAAAAAAAAAAAGGAGCGAGTGAGCAGAGCAAAATTATAAAGGGAAGAATAATCAATCTCTGCTGCTACAGAAGCAAAGGAAGAGAGCGTGATGGTAAGAAAGACAGACTGTACATTCAGAAAAAAACTACAGAGGATATGAATGGCAGAAAAGAACTGAATTCAAATTGTGAGAGTAGTTTCCACTCAACAGTCCAAAACCTAAAGATAGCCGGAACCAGAGAGCAATTAAAGTGTTCGCTTGATAAATCACATCAAAGTTTTTTTTTTTTTTTTTTAAAGGAACAAGGCCAGACTTTCCTTTATCTGATGCTCTGATGTACGAAGGATTGTATTAGAGATACTAAAAATTAGCTACAACAAACTTCCTCTTTTCAGAAAAAACTGTCGTGATTGTGTGTCATCTGTTTCAGAGTTGAGGTCACTCCTGTAGGTCAAGCAACACCTGAACATTTATGGGCTTCCTCTATTCATCGTGCCGTGGAGTCAGCTGATTAAACACAGGGTGCTGCTGCTGCTGCTGCTGCTGCTGCGTGGTTTAGGAGATTCACATTATCACTCACCCTTTCACAACCATACACTCACACACGTGCCCACACTCATGCACAGTCAGTCACTCTCTCTTAAACACACAAAGCGCCTCTCATAAGTGCACCAGCACACATTGCTCTGTGTTTGCGACCTCCCGACAGCCCACTCTCCAAGATGAACAAGCACCAAACACAATCCAGCCGTCTGACATGTAGCAGGGAGCAGACAGGTCACTCCAGCATGTGCTGCTAGTAAAACTGATTAGTGAACTACAACACGGCAAAACAACATGACCACCGCTGCAGACAACCGAGCTACTGATGGCGGAGACACGACTCACAGCAGCAAAGACGGCAGGAAATGAAAAGAGAAAAGCTACAGTATGTTTACAGAATGTAAACAAACTTAATTCTCCATCTGGCTACAGCCTTAAGGCCATAGTCATGCTTAATGCAGTAGGACCTGTGCAAGTTCAAAATCCAAAATCACTTTGAGGCAGCAAGGTGGACAAACACTGACCATTTCATACTTTTTGAAATGCAGAAGTATACAGTTTCATATTAGGGGACATTAAAATGAATGTATGTTTTTACTGAATTGACTAAACAAAGCTTGTTGGTGTTTTCATTTACATCTGACAGTCGTTTGGCTTCAAATCATTGTCATATGAGGAAATTCTGTGAAACTTATTTTGCTGTGACAACATTGACTTCTCTCATTTAGTCACTGTCATGAGACTTTGTGCAACAATTACTCAGTGAAACTGTAGGTTTACACACAACTACGTATTCCCAGGTTATTAGCATGTGATGTTAGTGTAAATAGGGTCCTCATGAAGATAATTATTACAAATCAAAAAAACGAATTCAATACTGATACTCGCAGAGATACAGCATTTTTTGGACATTTCAACCGACAGAGAGCAGTCCGGCAGCAACTCTGTGGGATTCACTGTGGAATTAAAGTTGTTACAGGGATCAGGAAATATCTGAATGACTGACGTGTGTGTGTGTGTGTGTGTGTGTGTGTGTGTGTGTGTGTGTGTGTGTGTTTGTGTGTTGTGTGTGTGTGTGTGTGTGGTGTGTATGTGTATATATATATATATATATTTAATATATATTTATATATAATATGTATATATATATATATATATATATATACATAAAATCTTTGTAAATAAGACCAAGAATCTGACCAAGCATTCAGAGCCATACTTTCAATATTTCACAGTTCATGATTCCTGTTGCTGTGGACACAAATCTGTTGATGCTCAGGACAAATCTGGTTTCAATCGCAGAACCTGAAGCAAACGGGTTCAACATTTTAGAAACTGTTGCCATGTGCACATGTGATACCGTGCTCATAGGCAGGTCTGCCACTGATCATCCTGCTGTGGTAATGCAATTACAACAGAATATTTTTTATGGATCACCTTCGGGTTAAGTCAGGGTTTCAAATGTGATTAAGCATACGGAATGAAAAATAATTCCAGTTTCAGTTTTATTGCCAATGTTCAACTTTTTCTCTTTGATTAGGGGCTGAGTATCAACTGGCAGGAGGGCATCATGTCCAGAGGTCTCATTTGTAGCCATGTTATTCCAATATCTCCTCTGCCAAGAGGAAACACAATCCTTCTCTGAGAAAACAGGAAATAGCTCAGGCCTGTATGGAATTAATCTATTTTTAGACAAACTATATTGACATTGTGCTGGCAAAGCTAAGACAACTTATTAAGTAACAAGAATAAACAACAAAGATTTGGGACTTATCTAAAAATATATAGCAAATGTGTATAATTGCATATTTGTTGGACAGTTATTCTTAATTCCTTTTTGTATATAGTTTATAACAAATGCATCCCATGGTGTAATAGTGTTTGAGATGTTTGCAAATGTGATATAGTCAGTTGAAAAGAGGTTGTTTCTGAAAACTGGGATTCTGAAAAGCAGATGTGGCCCACTGTCCATTTACCAACTTGAGCGATATTTGGCCCAGGATACAGTAACTTTCACTCTTGTCCTTCTCTGCCTTTTCGCTGTAGTGACTTTCTGCTTGCTTCAGACTGTCTGCCCTTGTGGGCCTGAGCCAGACAATTAATCAAGAGAGCAGAGACAATGGAGAAGAAGAAGACGGGAACAGGAGGAAAACAAGATGATCTTTTCTCTTCGTTGCAGTTTGTCTTGCTAAAATTTGGTCCGAGCCGCCTGGATGAAGCCATAGTCTTGGTGACGTATTCACAGGCCTGCCAACAATGGACAATAGAAAGGCCAGAGTGGGCGAGTGAGCAGGCCTTTGCCTTTCAGAGGCGAGTCAGGCCGAGCTAAAAGTAAAGGCAGGCAGCAGCATGGGAGGGTCATGTGAGCGAGCGGCCAAAGGGAGTTGTGCCAGGGAGGGTGTATAGGAGGGGAACAGTGGTACTGCTGTGCCTGATAACAGCTTTTCAGAGGCATGGAAAACACATGCAGACATGCGGAGTCACAGTGGCACACAAACACTGACAAAGACACATTCACGTGCACTCAGACCGAACAGAAAGGAAACTGTAAAGTGTCAAATCTCCCCTGTCAGAGGCTCAAGCAGTAGCTTTACAGAAGAGAAAGTCAATCTTGCACCAGAGTTGTCTGATTAATTGTCTTATTAAGGGACTTACACTCAATGCAAGAGAGACGATCAACCTGAATCGAGCTTACCTGCTCGTATTGCTTTAGCTCCTTGTTTGCAGTGAGGATTTAAATTGATATTTACATGAGAAGTGAGTATCGACCAGACGCATGACCGACTCCTCAAAACTTTGTGCTTATTCTTTTCATATCTGAGGCATCAACAGAATTAGAGCCACAGACTTCTCACAAGCTGCAGGTGCTCTTTTCTGCCTTCTCCGTATCAGGTTCTCCGGTTGATTCATAATAGCCCTAAATAAACTGCATTACCCAGGGGCCACTACATGATGCTCACCTGTTCCCATTCTTGCGTGCCTGCTTTTCTCTGTTGGCAGCTAGGCTAAGTAACGTTACAGCCGGACAACACTGGACATAGAGCATGGTGATGCAGAGGTGCTTCTACTTATATTAAGCATTTCTGTGCTGCAATTATTTACTATTTGCATTAGGCAACATATACATCAATACCAATATACCCATAATAAGCTAATATCGGTCAAGACATCTGTCTAGGCTTAAAAAGAGGTTCTTCTGCTTTCAAAGTGAACATAGCTCTGCGAAAGCAATGTTGGTGATGAGTCAGTCAAACACCTTGGTGGAGAGTGAAATATCCCAACAGCTATTGGCTGACCATAAAATTTGGTACAGGTATGTATGGGGGCCAGATGATAACTTTGGTCACTGTCTGACTTTAAACACCACTGGGTCAAAGTTTTAATTTTGAGATGGTGAGCATGAGCATTATATCTGCTAAACATCAGTAGACTATGTTAGCATTATCGCTATGAGCATGTTAGCATGCTAATTTTAGCATTTAGCTCAAAGCCTAATTACGGCCTCACCAAGCTGCTAGCATGGCTGTAGACTCTTAGTACTGTGTAATTATCTAAGATGATAATTATGTAATTCAGAGTAAGCCTCACACATTGGAGGCCAATACAGAAGAGTGTTTGGGGGTTGTTGTGCCTTCTGAGAACTGCTCCCTGCAGGTCAAGTTTACCCGCATCTGTATCTGCTGCTCTTCCACTTCACTGCTGCTGACTCACCCCCAGAGAAGCACATACTAAAGTCTTTACTGAATTTATTCCGCTCTAATTGATTTAAACAAAATTACTGTTTATGAAGGAGCCACAATGCGTTTGTTTGTCACCTGTGTGTGTGTGTGTGTGTGTGTGTGAGAGTGTGAGAGAGAGAGTGTGTGTGAGTCAGCAAGTGCTGTATGAGCTCTGTAAAGGGCACCTCTCCTGCTAGTCCTGAAGTTGTGAGTGCAGTTCAATAATGCATAGGCTACTGTGAATTCCTGCAACAGACAGCCCACATAACTGAGCGAGTCATGCGCTGTTGTATAACAAGCCTGGCTGCTCGTATGATGGCTGTTACTAAACAGAGCCGGCCGGGCAGGCAGCGTTTTGCATATTTCATGGTTTTGTTTTCAACCCTGGGGCCACATGAACCAAGACGGCGTGTTCACCACCAGTTGAACACGGCTGCTGTGTGGAGAGACACACACACACGGACTTGTGTGCTCTTATTAACTGGCCATTGAAGGTTAGACAAACACTTGAGCTGAACAGTTTAATTTACCCCTTTGTTGCTGCCAGTGGTCTGCTCCTCGCCGGCGTCGCTCTTCTTCGCGGCTGCAGCTGTGGATGAAGCTCTGGTGTGCATGGTCCTGGTTGAGCAGCGTCGACTGGAAACCCCCCAGTTACCTGTAAACAAAACATTACCCCCCGCCTCCCCCCTACTGCTGTAGCGCTTTTTTTCATGCACGAACAGCGTCTTGATGATATCTAAATTACTGCTCTCACTCGGCACGCTTTTGGAGAGATTCGTCGCTATTGTAGCCACCCGGTCCCAGTGTCCCCAGTCCGTGAATACAAAACCAGACGACGACTCCCAGTTCTGGACAGGATGCGGGTCCGCTTGTTGTTTCCCCAGGTGCGCAAGTGTTGAATCGACACAGAGAGACCGGCACCACAGAGACTTGTGGCCTTTGCGTAATGTCAGAGTGACGTCCCTCAGTCTGTTTGCTTTGACTTGCACTAGAAACGAGCCCGGCGACTTGAAAGCGTGATCCAGAGCCGCTGCAGACAGCCTCCCTGTGCGGCACAGAAACATTCTCGTCGACGTCCTTCAGACGAGTTAAGTGTGTCCGATTAAATCAAATACAGCGTGAGGCTCGTTCACAACAGCTAATAAGACAGTAAGTAGCTGTAAACATGCTGTCCTGTGCCCTCCTGTCTCCCTCCGGTCCGCTGTTGACCGATTATCACCAGCAGCCAATGAGCGCTGAGAGTGAAGCCTGAAGTGAAGGGAGGGGGTATTTAAAGGTGTAACCGTGTTGTGGGTAAGGCCATGAAATGTCTCGGGGGTACTGTACGTAATCGCATGTGCACGTGCTTTAAAAGCTAGGCAGCAAGCATTCGTACTATTTTGTTAAATACAGTTATTCTGTTAAAATGTGTAAAATTATATGTTGTTTTTTTCCTGCATGGCTTCTCTAGCAACACAGGTGGTAGAGAGGGAGCAGGCTGAGTCTTGACTATTACTCCAGGTGTAGAAACAGAGATGATCTTACCAGTGTATGAACTCTTTGTGGAATTTACCGAATCGCCTGGATGAGTGGAAAGTTAAAGTATTTCACTCATTAACTTTATTCAACCGGGGAGGGTCATATTACAACTTTTTTTTTTGGTCACAAAGCAAGGATATAAGACACAACAAATACTTCAACAAAATGATTACAGGGCAAATTCAAGAAACGGTCCATAAAAAATATACACAACATAATACACTCAGTTGAGGGCACAGCTTGAGGTAAAGCAAAAGACAGTATATAATAGGAGTAATTGCTATTGATAAACTACCATGTCATATATCATTTTTATCACAATATCAATATATACATTGTAACATGATTTTTTTGGAAGTCAATTGAGAACTAGTTATATAAAGTAATATCACAGGGATCTGTTTTTGGCAAAATACCTGAAAATTAAAATTATTTTTTTTATTTAAAATATTTATGTGCCTACAGTATTTACTAGATTTTTTTATTGCTTTATTGTCTTTTACTATTGATTGTTTCAGTTCACTGTCAGCAGTGTGTGCCTAAGCCCTGTGTGTTAATGCCTGTCTTAACACATTGTTGGTGGCTATTTGTGCACTGTGTATGTTATGTACTGTGGAGATAAAGCTGCTCAACCATAAGTAACAGTAACTGTTAACATGCTGGATTGTAGCAGACCACACCTCAAATGAAAGAGTAAGCTACACGCAGTGCATCAAGCTTTAGAGAAAGCTTCTATTCTGTTTTCTCCTTCTTTTGTCTACCTTTATGTCTCGTGTAAATTTGCATGTCTGCCCAAAAACAAGATGGACATATCCAGCCTAAGAAGGAAGTGGTGGGAAAGCACAACATACGAGATCTAATTCTACATGTGCTTTGATATGAAAACTGTAGTATAGTTCCTTAAATATTTCATTGTTATATGTCACAGTATGCTGAATCAAGTCTGCGGTTATGCGGTTCATCATATGATGAATGTGATCTGCTTTCGGAGTGTAAGAGTGTCATTCTTTCCAGTGACAGTTTCACCTCTTTTTGAAAAGGACAAAAATACATATATGCACACTCAACAAAGTGACAAGCAGAGAGAGGAGTGAGTAGGAGGCGAGATAAAGAAAGAGGGAGGGATGTTTTTGGCAGGAAGCCATGAAAAAAAAAAACTGTCGACTGTCAGCGCAGCAACAGAGCCCCTGACCTTTTCTCAGCTGCACCACAACATTTAGGTTGGTTTAAAATGTCTATAAATTTTAAACCTCCTTTTCACGTTTATAGTTTGGTGACATATTCTTTTATTAGTTGAGAGTGAAACATTAATTTGCCTGTTGGGGGGGGGGGGCACAGCACTGCACAGCACTGCACAGCTCTGAATGGAAAAGTTGAAAGGTGACATTTCAATATCTGAGCACATGTAAATGTGCACCTCCTCTGCTTCCCACAGAGAGCAACAAGGGAAAAAGTTCACCTGAGTTCCTTCGCAGCTGAAGACGGTACAGTCCCACATAGATAGTGAAATGGAAAAGGTAAAATTCCCCAGAGGTATTTTACAGTTTAGGTCAGAATTCATAACTTTATACAATAATGGAAGTCATGTGGATATAAATATTCAAACACAGCTTACAGAAAGTTAAAGTCCCATATTTTGTAGGAGTGGACCACAATTCAGCTATTTGTCAAGTCAGACATTTCCACATCAAGTTAAAACTGGGCTAAAAGTAAAGGAGTTTAAAGTAAATTATAAAAGAAAAAAAATCTGCAGGTTTTGTTTTCCTTGTGAAATCAAAAATACATTTACCTCTTCAACCTTAAAAAAATCCTTCAAATCAAACAAGCTAAGAAGAAAGAACTACTCTTTTGAACTGCTCATAACTCAAGTCTGCATTTAGGTTATATAGCTAATGGTGTGCGGTCACAAAAAGACATCTGTTTATGGGGTCACATACCAAGAAGTGCGGGAACCACCGTGCTACTGTGTGTCACCTAGACTTTCACTTTTCACTGAATTTAGCTGCACGATAATGTGGTGGTTTCTTGCGCGGAGACTGAGCAGTTCATTCAGCTTTCAGGATGACTCTCAGTAACACCTGCGACTTCTGTGGCGTTTCAAATACAAAATGTACTCACTCATAAACAACAGTTAGTGGATAAAAAGTGGGCAGAATAGTCTTTAAGAAGCATATGTTTAGTTGTGACTGTGTCAGTGAGGCATCACTTAATCTCCATGGTAATTATCTGAGGCTGTAGTTTGTAATGCTGAATTGGACTGCATTATATTGTACACATTATTTTTTCCACCTTCTGGCAGACTGTCAGTTTCTCCAGAAAGTGACATCATCTTTTTCCACTTATAACTTCTACGTTGATGCAACTTCCACATTAATGCTCTATGAATAGTGTGACTTGGTCATTGTGTTGTCAGTGTGGAAATTTCATAATCACTTAGTCACAGATACATCAGCCTCCTTTTGACAATACTGCAAAGTGCAACTACGGCAAACATGCAGCATTACTACTCATGGCTCACTCTCCCTTCCTCTCATTGAAAATGATTTAGACTTTGAAGGAAAATTAGTCATTGGAAAGATGATAAAACCCTAGTGTTTGAACTGCGGGTCATTGCACATGATTGTGTATTACACCATGTAGCTAAGGAACCGAGGCAGAGGGAGGAGGACATGTTTTACTGGGAACCCCACACACTGACAGCTGGTTGTCTATGCGGGACACTGTACAAGTGGGACGTTTATTTTCATTTTAAGGCAGGAAGTGTTGCAGCTCTGTTGATGCACTGTGGAAACCAGTCAGTCAGGTTTACCAAAACAATCCTATCAGTTTGTGGGGTGTGAAATTTCCTCCTTTGTAACCTATAAAACAGAAAAATAAATGACACCCTCTTTTTTACAAATGAATAAGATGCACCTTTCCTCAAGTCAACACACTCAGGTGTATGATCAGTAGCTTTATGGCGGCTAATGTTAGCAGTACATTCATTGACTTTAAAACTCTTCTTTCCTTGTGCTACCATTATGCTACTTGTGTTTTAGCTGTTCAGGAAAAGTAACAGTGTCTCACTTTTAAGGTTAGGTTGTTTAGACACTTGGCGTGGCGACTTTGCTACCAACTACTGTTTGTGTTATCTGTGCGGCAGGTGATGGGAATGCCATTAGTTTAGCAGGTATTTCATCATATGCCAAAGTATTGGATAAATTAAAATTTTTACCTGATGGTGGTGCTAGATGAAAAGTTAGGGTATCATAATAATCCATTATCCTAGGGACATGAATATCCATACAAAATTTCATGGCAATCTGTCCAATAGAGACACGCCTCTAGTGTTGCTAAAAATAATTCTCATTCAGACAATGATTGCAACCACATCACCCAGCCTTATATCAAAGTGTCAGTAGTTGTTGGCCTGAAATGCGGCCTCATGTCTGAGTGTGAGTAAGTGACTTCGATCTCTGAGTGTAAATCCCTCGTTCAATACACTTTTATCTGCGGTCGGCCAGTCAGACATCACTCATCCTACTTAGACTTCTTAAATTCAGGTCAAATAGGACAATGAAGCCCTGTTAAGTCCAGCGGATCCTGGGAACCGGGCAGAAGTTCTGACCCATCCCTGAGCCATTCCTCCATCCATTTGTTCTTTTTGTGTGTCTCTTCTATCCGTCTTCTGACAAACTGGCAGGATGGTCAATAGCTGTGGCCTCCTCCCAGCGCAGGCCCGTTTTGAGGCCTAACATCCACCCTTCATTTGCATGCCTTCTTTCTTTCATCGCTGCAAACGCGCCCCTTCTTCCATCGAGTGGTCAGTGTCTAAGCAACGCCTGGCATCGATTCATTTTCCTGCTTTATCGTCTGCGCTCCCAACTGTTCCTCAGTGCCTTCCTTCAGCATCCCTTCATTTATGTATTCAGCAGAATGGTCAGTATGTGTCTGCATGTTCTTTTCTGGCACTAATCCACTTCGCTCTTCAGTGAAGAGGACTGAAGGACTGGGACTAGAGCCAGCTGGCCTGGACTCAGTATTGCTCAGGCACAATAGCAAAGCCAGGCCACGAAGATGAGGTTAATGCAGTCTGGATCATGTGTTTTCAGCACCATTGTCCTCCTCTCTGTCTGTATGCCTTAGACATACTGACACTGCCCAGGGAGCTTCAGCTGAAAGGGTGATTTCTCCTAACATTTGCTCAAGACACATCAAGGACTGGAACCTGACGTAGATGTTTGACAAATTAGTTCATGTTTGTTCTGCTGGTTTGTTTTTCAAATCCCTGAGCACACATATTAGCCACTAGGTGCTGTTTTATGAGAGCTTAATGTACTGTAAATAAGTTTCTCCATAAAAGACAGATAACTGTATCCATACCAATACGTCACTCCCCTAAAACCAACAGCAATGAAACACAGATAGGGATGAATAAGTAACCATGCCAGCCGATGGCTGCCGTTTCCCATATAAACAGTCACTCAGCAGAATCTGAAAAAGAGAAAGTACAGTATAAATTGCAGAATAAAAAGTCCCAGCAAGTTAAAAAATCCCCCAAACTGTAGCTCAAAATAAACTTTGAGAAACATGAAATACACTCATATAACTTTTTTAAAACTGTCTTGTACTTGTCTCTCTAACCCAACTGCTGTGTGTCTGAGCAACAACTGCTGGGTGCAGGCTGGAGAAATATTGAC